CCAAGAAGCCGTGGAACGTTATCACGTACTGGTTTGCGTTCCAGGATGATATGCAACTTAAAATCCGTCGTAGGGCGACACCCGCTCTGCGCACGCCTATGGCATCCTTGTAGCAGGGTTTCGTGAGCAACACATGCACAAGAATGGTAAGCCTTAGGCGGCCTTGTTCTGGTGATACCCATCTTAATTGGTTGGTCTGGGATGTGGTACGACGCTCGTTTGCTTTTTCTTTATGCTCCTTCAAACCCCGGTTAGCTGTTATAACACGAGGAAGCAGGTGTATCGTCAAATATCAGTGCACTAGGGTCTTAAATTCTGTTGATGGGGCTTTCACAAAGTTGTAAACCTGAAATGCAATCCCGTCGAGTAGGACTCACTTAGAGGAGCTTGCGCGGTCGTGACTACCCGGGCCATCCTGCACTCTTACAAAACCTCAGGATGTCTGAATCTGATCTTAACGCAAAGTTGGATCCCGTAGGTACAACTCTGTTCCTACATACATAGTTTATGCATTTAGTCTGATGTACAGCGACCTCTTCTTCGCTGCGATCCTAGATCCTAGATCCGAGTCCATCAACGACACGTGCAATGGAAGTGAGGTAAAAGACTTCTGCACTGCACAGTTGTCCAGAAAGTTCATTTTGGTAATAAACATCTTCATGCATTAACGGGTCCGTCCCTACCGATACTAGACCGTCGCGGCGAGAGTGACTAAGAACGAAAGCCTCGGAATTTCCTTCTCTAGACCCAATGCCAACCCTTGAACCTATCAATCTAGCATCTCTAGCTCCTTCCCGAGCTGTGCGCACTCCTTCTCTATCAAATTGATGTGCCCAGGGCTACGCGGCGTGATCTCAACTTTGAATGGCGAGTGGTCATGTGCCAAGGGATCAATACGATACTCATCGATGGGCGCGTCCGCATACTCCGCGAAGTCGAAACAGTATAGGATGCGCGAGAAAGCGATGAACATGTTGCGCGTGCCCAGGTGCCATCCTGGGCATAAACGTCTCCCTATGAACAGTTACTTCAGCGAGAGAGTCCGTGTAAGCATTGCAAGCGATACGTACCGGCTCCGAAACCGATGTGGCCCTTCAGCAAGTCGTAGAGGTCTTCGTTCATGAAGCGCTCTGGCTTGAACTTCTCATTCTCGGGAAACTCTCTTTCGCTATGGCATATACTGAAATGATTGTAGGTCACTACGGTGCCCTTCTCGAAACTGTAATCCTTGTACGAGTCGTCCTCGATGAGCGCACGAGGCACGCCCGAGGTTGTCATATTGGGCCGCCATCGTAAACTCTCTTTGATAACGGCAACGATGTATGGGAGTTTCTCGTAGTCCTGCGACTGTTAGGTCTATGGAAGGGACTGGAGGACAGGCACGTACGTCGAACCCTGGGAGTCGCTCGGCGTTTCCGCAAACCTTGTCTATCTGCTCTTGCGCAGTCTTGACCCAAGCCGGATATTTCGCCGCGGCAGCCAGCAGAATATTGATCTGGTTACGCGTCGTGTCGCTCCCAGCCTCTATGATGGAGCCAGCTACAGACCTTGTCAGTAATACTGCTGCGCCACTGGTTCTGCTACCTCTGGGTTCACTCACCGCAGAAATACTTTTGCGCATCGTCAAAGCCGTACTTTGAGGCTAGAAGTCCCATGTCTCTGGCAAAGCATTTTGGATCCTGGCCTTCTTGAACCCGGCGTTCGAGATCGTCCAAGAAAGAGGCGTAGACTCTGAAGAGGAGCCTGTCAGCTCAGGCGTTATCACGCATCAATGCCTAGAACGTAGCACTCACCCTACGGTCTTCTTGAACACTTTTTCGGCCCTTGGCCTCCACCACTGAAACTGCTTTGGCAGGTTCCGCGCCACCCAAGGAAACTGTTCGATCAAGCTAGCAGATGGGGATTTCTGTGAATCCAGAAAGTCTTCGATGGTTGAAAAGAGTAGCTGTACATTCTCGTCGCGCATGCTTGTCCTCCGGCCGAAGACTCTGTAAGATCGTATTAGTTCCAATTTACACCTCGTGACGAGACGGTTACGATATTGACCCACACAGAAAAAATGACTGTATGCATTCTCGAGTTAGTGAAGTCACATGATAGCTTGGGGTCTTTCCTGCGTGCGAACCTGAATTGGCGAAACGGGCGCTATGTAGATAGAACTCGGTCGGACGATGAAGAAGTTCCCATATTAGCGCTTTCGACTCCACCTCCTGGAACGGCTTGTACGTGTCCGACTGGGTGAGCTGTTAGCTACTGCGCCTAATGCAAAGCGAATTTCACTGACATTGCTGGCCATGAGCAGTTGATGCATAATCTTCCTTAGGTTTCTCCATCTTTGGCCATAACGCATTAAGACAATCCGATTGCCCCCCGAGAGCACATCCTGGGTTATGGCAAAGTCAGGCCGGTTTATGTACAGCTTACCGCGCCGGTCTAGGAGCTCCTGGGCGGCCTTCATGGAATTGAGAAAGACCCATTTCCTTGACCCCAGTTGCAATGTGAAGCTGAAGATGGCGAATTAGCCCGCTTCCTGCCTTAAAAATGTCCCGCAACCTACAGTTCTCCATACTGCTCGGCCCACTTTGCCAACTGAGGACCGGGATAGCTGGGGGGTAACTGGAAGAGATTGCCGAAGATGGGAAAGCCTCGAGGACCCGGTGGATATTTGTATTTGCCCTTGGCCTTGAAGCTAACATAGTACGCCACAGCAACAATCAAAACGATGAGTGAGAGTTGGGCATGGCGCGATAGGAGCAAGTCGACAGCAGCCATCGAAACTCAGTTGGTGTCGGTTGAAGTCTGGGGCCAGACGAGAAGCGTGGGGCGTACTTTCAGTGCCGAAGTCGTGCAGCCGTCTTTAAATGCAATGCACACAGACATTTCTCCAACATCGAAGAGGCTGTTGGCATGTGGGCTCACTGTCGAGGTGGTGGGTCCGCGCGCCTCTCGTCCCAAACCCTGAGCGGGAGGGTGTGGGGTACACTACCTAGGTACGCCCATTTGAGCGATTCCCCCACATCACGAGAGTCACGTCCTCTGCCCTCAGTCAATGAATGGTAGAGACGTCTTCTTATGTCGCGAAGAGATCTTGAGCTCTGCACAAAAAAATCCTTCTCGCAAACAAAGTCTCTCGACCACAAACGGTGCCTAACAGCACGTGATCAAAGTGCCGAAAGAAGTCTCTGGACGGCCTCTTGGACAGACAAGATGACTCACATCGCAAAGGTATCCGAACGCTATCGAACCAGCGTATGGCTACGGGCCATTAACGAGCTATTAGGTCATTGTCGTGGGCGCCGGCCCATCTGGTCTGCTGCTTTCCTTGATTCTCAGTCAACAGGGTATCAAAACTACCCTGGTCGAGATGGCCGAAAGCTTGGATGAGGCGCCTCGCGCCACGCACTATTCATGGCCGGCACAGTATGAATTCATCAGGGCTGGCGTCTTGGATGAGATTCTCGCCGCTGGGTTCCGGGTTGACAAATCCGTATCGTGGCGGAAACTTGACGGGACTCTGCTAGGTCAGATTGACGTCGAAAACATACCTGAACAGGAGCGCATGGTGTGCTTGCCGCTGAATGGTTTGGCCAAAATTCTTTACGGCCGCATCACCAAAGAGGAAAACGCCGAGATCCTCTGGGGCCACAAGGTCACCAGTATCGGTCAAGATGCATCGAGGGCTTGGATCGATGTCGTGATGACTGAGGGAGAGAAGCGCCTTGAAGCCGACTACATTGTTGGCTGTGACGGAGCAAACAGTCAGATACGGCGATCGCTGTTCGGAGACTTTGAATTTCCGGGCATGACCTGGGACCAACAGATCGTGGCCACAAACGTAGGTTTTCCACCTTTGTGGGGAGAGCCGAGCTTAGAGAACGTGTTAGGCATATTACCCCGACATGGCCTCAGCCGGCTGGGGTGACGATTCAGCTTTTCTGGTCGATCAAGACCACTGGTCAATGATTGCCAGAATTCAGACTGACGGTCTGCTTCGAATTACATATGGTGAGGTTCCAGGCTTGACCCGGGAAGAGTACATTGCCCGACAGCCAGCCAAATACAAGGCCTTGCTACCTGGCCACCCAGATCCCGATAAATTCAAGGTCGTCAATATCAGTCCTTACAAGGTGCATCAGAGATTAGCGAAGAGCATGAGAGAGGGCCGATTCTTGCTCGCAGCAGATGCTGCACATCTTTGCACCCCATTGTAAGTATCCCACATAAAACCCTCCCTTTCGCAGCTGACCCAACTGTCAGTGGGGGCTTGGGTCTCACGGGTGGTCTCGTCGATGTAGGCAATCTCTCCGACTGCCTCGTCGGAATACACAAAGGTCTTGCGGACGAAAAGATTCTCGATCGCTACAGTGAGGTACGCCGGCAAAAATACAACGACGTAGTGAATCCCGTGTCAAGTGCCAACATGCGTCTCCTCTGGCAAGATGGCGAGACGGCAGAGCAGGACGAATTCTTCCATCTGCTAACCAAAGCTCGGAAGGACCCAGCCATCACGCAGAAAATGGCAACCGTAAGTCCACCCGGCCTGCACAACAATCGACTATTAACAACGTGCACAGAGTATACACAGGATCATGCATGATTTCCGCAAGGAGTACAACATCAAGTCAAATGGCCAAGTCGTGGACACAAGGTGAGATAAAAATCGAAAAGGTTGTGAGGAGTGCAGCGTCTTTTTCATTCGTCTCTCGTAGTTTGTTTTCAGAAAAGAAAAAAATAGATTTGACCCGTTTCTGATGTTGGGTTTACATCTCTTTGTCAATGGTGTCTCTTCCTACGCAATTACGAGGTGCAAGTCATACGTTGGTTTCCTAGCATCTGTACCGAGGCATTCTTGAGAGATTAATCAAAAGCTGTCACTGCGATGCCCCTGCAAAGTTTTGCCCAATTCGTGAGTGAAATCAGATGAGCATGGCACCAAAATGTCCGGTGTTATGCACACTACGATGATGATTCAACAAATTTTATTGACTAAGGTTCCATACTCAAACGCGCTGCGACTTGACATCTTGCAGCCATTGCAGTAGTGCATCGCACGTTGCCTGCGGTTGGTCCATGTACACCATATGCCCAACGCTGTCGATAATGACCAGGCGGGATGTGTGGATTTCTGACGCGATATGTTTGTTCAGGCTTACTGGACTAGCCATGCTGTTCTTTGGCGCAATGACCAGCGTTGGAACAGTGATATGCTCGAGCTGATCCGTCACGTCGACCTGCATGATGAAATGGAAGTATCGGGCAATACCCTCCTTCTGGTGCAATTGGATCATACTTTCGAACCACTTGCTGTATGCCTCTCCGGAGAATGCGCCCATTTCATTGGTGTCAGCTTTGCGATTCGCAGCAAGACGAGATATGGGTCGGCTTCTCTGCCACTCTAGTAGACCGAGCTTTCGTACTGCCTCACCCGGGCTGTCATATGGCTCGGACGTCATTGTTCTGAACGCTTCGCTGCGCAGCACCATTAGCAGTCTGTCAAAATCCTGCGGAGAAGGGATCATTCTGCTCATACCCTAGTGCAAGCGGAGTCGACATGACGATCAAAGACTTGACCTTGTCGGGATGTTTGCGCGCAAACGCAATAGCGAGCATGCCTGCGGTGCTCTCGCCGATCCAGTGGACTGGCCGTCCAGCGACCTTGTCGACGAACTCGGCCATCTCGTCCACCAGCGTATCGAGCTCGTACTTGTAGCCCTTATCGTCTCCAATCGAGCTTTGCCCATGTCCGCGCAAATCGCGACGAATGAGTCGCACCTCCCCGCTCAGCAGCGGAACGACGTTAAAGAGCATTTTGGTGTGGCGCGTAATGCCCCCTTGAAAGACAACTATCTCGACATCATTTGCCAGCCAGGGTTTTGTGAAATCGTCGATTTCGTAGTGGTCGATCTGGCTATTGGAAAGACGAACCTCGGGCATGTTGGGTTTGGCTTACCGTGTGCCAGTCACCGCTTTTAGTACGTCGTGTTGGTAACAATATAGTTGTTGTCCAGCATGGGCGTCCCACCATTTCCAAGGCCAACGACACGCGAGAGGTGAAGTGCCAGGCCCAGCCTCGCAGCGGCTGGGGATGGAGTGGGGAAATCTTGTTCCTCGCGAAACTGGGAAGCCCGGAGGACACAAGTGGGGGATACCCCACACTATGCTGAAACCCGGCCTCGGGTCATTTTTGGAGAACGTATATTTCGACCAGTCATGCGATTGATTGAACCGACAGTCTCATGGACAGCGTTGAGGGGTTTGGGACCAGAATAGTAGAGGCTCCCAGTCCGTGCGAACTCAAAGCTGCCGACTGCGGCCCACCCCCAAAAAATCTACCATCATGGCAGCCAACAGCGTCGAAAGACCCAGTATCAACACAGAACCCTATCCTGCAATCAGCGAGGAGACATTGTATGACGCTCTCGCTGGTCAAGTAGTCATTATTACGGGTGCCGCCGGCGGGCTTGGCAGAGGGCAATCGCTGGCTTTTGCCAACGCTGGCGCCAAACTCGCCCTCATCGACATACCGCGAGCAGCGGAGGCCCTGAAAGCCGTCAACACCGAATGTGAAAAGATCACGCGAGATGTCAACATCTACTTCTGCGACGTAACAGACGAAGAGCAGTCTGAAAAGACGCTCGCGCAGATCCAGAGCGCTCTTGGCCCGGTGGATGTTTTGGTCAACAATGCTGGAGCGTGCGCTTCTTCCTTTCTGTTTACTTGAGATAACGTAGCTGAACTAGTCGCAGATCGATCGATCGACCATTCCATATGAATACCTTCAACCAATTCTGGAGCATGATTGATATCAACCTGAAAGCTGTGAGATTGCCACTTAAGCCATTACACTGCATCTAGACTAATTTGCAGAGCAGCCGATGCTATGGAGTCACATGCTCATCAATTCATTCCGCGAGAGGAAGCGAGGCAAGATTATCAACATCTCATCCAGAAGCGCAACCGTTAATGGGGTCTTTTGCGTGAACTATGGCGCGGCAAAGGCCGCTCTCGTCAGAGCCACAGGGTGTCTGCAAGCAGAACTTGAGATGGACGGTCTATCCGACATCCACGTCTTTGCCCTCCACCCCGGTGCTACTAGGACTGGCATCCAAAAGACTCTGAACGACGATGTCGCCGAGGCTTATCCGAAAGGAGCCGAGATGTACACCAAATTCTGTGCGCAATTCAAATGCAAACCGTCTCTGTGCGGGCAGACTTGTGTCTTCCTCGCGACTGGGAAGGGCAAAACACTGGCAGGAAGATATTTCGACTGCGAACAGGACGTCGCCTATGTGTCAACAATGGGAGACTTAATCCGAGAACAGAATCTGTATGATCTCAAGGTGGAATTTCTAGGAGGCCTCCCCAACGACGGTGGAACAGTACCAGATTCTATATTAGATAGTTTGTGAATGTTGAGGTCGTGTTGTAAGGTTTACAAGATTGTGCGATTCCGGAGGTACATTGATCTTAGATACGCAAATGAACGGGCCAATGTCGTTCTATCAGAGTTACTTGGAGTTGACAATTGGATCATATTATTACCCAACTCAGAATTACGAATCATTGAAATTGTTGCTCGGAATCACTACTCAAATGTTACATAAGATCGCACTCCCTAGCCAATTTGGGACATGTTTCAGCTGGAAAGCCAGACGCAGGCTTCGCTCCATACCCACTACTCTTCGGCACCGGTCTTGTCAGTCTCGAGATGCCACTGTCGGATGAGATTGTGTTGTTGCCAGTAGCATCGATACCGTTTACCGTAGATATACAGTGGGAGTGTCGTCAGGGACACGGCAGCAGTGATGCCTGCCATGGTGTTGTACATTTCCGCAGCACCTTGGACCAAGAGCCAATTGACCACGTACTCGGACAATCTATAGTATGCAGCATATTAGTCCACGTGATCAGTGAAAAGCCACTGGGCTGGGGCATGCATACCCATAGAAGAAGAAGTTTTTGAAGACAATGTTCATGATGAAGATCTCCGTGCTGTACTCTCTGAAGGCGTCCAAGACGTAGCCCGTAGTGACGGAAGCGGAGATGAACATTCCGCATAGCATGATACCCCACACGAAAGAAATGACGTATATGGATGCTCCGCCTTGGCAAGCATAGCCAAAGCCGACGAGCCCAGCCACGGTAATGACAGTGGAGGGAATGATGAGTGGCAGTCTAAACTCGGGCTCATAGATGCCTTGATCTTTCTTCGCCATTTTCTTGATGAATGAGTCAGAAAAAGACCCATATAATACTGCTCCACTGATGCCACCAATGAGTGGTCCCACAGACATGAAACCGACCCCGGAGGTAGTCAAGGAATACGGTGGTGCCGTCCACAGGACTGAAGAGATAAGGGAAGTCGCTACCGACCAGGTGATGATGATACCAGAGACAATAACGTTGTACAAAGCACCCAAATTTAGCAGGATGACCACGCTGGCGAGCAACATCTTCAGTACAGAGTCACGTACGAAGACTCCATTGTATATGGACAAGCGATGAGTGAATGTCTTGCGAGGTGGCGCTGTACTTATACGACCGGGCATTTGGCTCAGTTCGATGCTTGAGACTCTCTCCATGTGAGTGATGGTGTCATCGAGTCGAGCCGTCTCTCGAGGGCGACGCGCCTTGTCCGTTAGTCTACCCAGCTTCTCTAGATCCTCGTACGATGCAATGACATCCGTGTTATAAAGACTATTCCGTCTATATGTCGTCTCTGGTACGAATAGAATCAAAAGGATGAACTGGATGACCGCGAACGGAAGCAGTATGTGGAAGTTGTACGACCAGCCAAGGTGATCCGTGATAGGTCCAGCGATAATCGCGACCCCATTGTTGATTGCGGTCAGGATAAACATGATGATGGCGACTCGAGAGCCTCTTTGATGTACGAAGAATAAGTCGCCAATCGATGCAACGATCAAGGACTCGTAAGTTGCCGTCGAGAAGCCTTGCAAGATTCGAGCCGCCAGAAGAGTGTTGTAGTTCTTGGCAACCTCTCCGACAATGCATCCGACCAGGGCCATGAATGATGAGAAGATGTACAGAGGCCGTTTGCCAAATTTGCGCGCGAGGGCCGAGGTGAATGGTCCAGCGGCCCCTGCAGTGAGAAGCATGTAGCCAGAGAGCAAGGCGACGTCCGTCAACGGTACATTGAGCTCGGTGGCGATCTGTACGGTCCCAGATGCGAGAAGAGGTCCCTATACGAACTAGGTCAGCCCGTGATCGATCCTTAATCTGAGCTCCTTTAGACGGTGTGAAGCACACATACTAGAACAGCGGCACCCGTGATGGATCCATAACAAAGGATAGCTAGGATGGTGTTTTTCTCGAAGCTAGACCAGTTCAAAGGATCATTCGGGTCTTCCGAGGGTTGAGGTACAAGAATGATTTCCTGATTGTTTCCGGAGTCATGCTTCAGATTGGACGTCTGCGCCTCCGACTGCGTACCGGCTCCGTAGAGGAGTACAGTGCCAGCAACGTGAACATCTCCACGAGGCTGTAGTATCCAAAAAACCCATAATTTGATTGAAGATTGATTGGGAAAAACGTCAATGAGGCAAGAGTGCCGTATGTGCTGGTCTCTAAAGTTGCGGCAAGAGCTGTCTTTGATCCCTGCCATGGATCGAGACTACGCATTGTGCATCATACAGTAGAGCGAACTGGGGTAAACAAGCTTCGCGGGGGTAAGCACCCAATATCCGGTATGGGCCGGCTAGAACTTTGCGACCCCAAGTTATTCAGGATTTGAAATCACTGTGCCGTCCTTTTCCCCAATAATTCAACTAGAGGCCATTGTTGTGGCATGAGGTTACGGTGAGCAGCTAGAGCTCAGATTCATGATTCGACTCGACCATGAGTAGTCCAGGATGACGATGTGCTCGTGGTTGTTGGGGTCGACATACGAGGCCCTCAATCGGAGGTCCAGTCTTCGGGCGCCCATTTCTAGGCTTAATTAAGGTTCAAATAAAGGTATGATGCTGAACTTCCGGTGTCTCATAATTACCCATCCATGGCCACTGTCATCGTCGGGCAATTGCTAACCAACCCTCCTAAATACCTGCCCGCGACGCTCCACCGCTTTCAATTACCTTTCAGAATAAGGCTTACACAATATACAGACAATTTCCTAACAAAACCCAAAACCACGTTACTGTATGGCTCGTGATATTCGTAGTACTTTTGCGTAGCTTGATCGAAACACACTTTGGAAGCCCCCACCAAGCGCTTGTACTTAGAGCAATGCACCCACACACTTCATCACATCGCCTTGTCTGAGGCTACACCGACACATGTGTGGGAGAGCTCTCGCCGTTTTTGGACTTATGTGGGGGATTGGCACGTGCGACGTTCACGTCGCAGTAGATCCGGCACTTACGCCGAAAGTGGACAAGGCGAAACCCATCTTCTCGCTCAAAGCTCTCAAAGCATTATTTGTGGTCGACGAATTTGTCATTAATTGATTCCACCCTCCAGCAGCCGTCTCTGTCCCTTCTCGACGGTAACGCTCACGTCTTGACCCGTCCAAGGTGGCTAGATCGTGGAGTATGCCCTGTAGCTCCGTGACACGGTCTCCGGAGACCCAAAGCGACTTACCCCTCATCGTCTTATCAACAATAGGGAGTATCAAGGCTTTGGCAATTCATGCTTGGGGCCTTAAGAACCTATAAGACGGATTTTAGTAAGTATAATATTCTTTAATTATATCCTTAACTATTTACCTATTTAGATTTAAAGTCTTGGGCTGGCTAATACAGCCAAACGTAATCTGTACCGCCGACCTTGATGTAGAAACTGTCGCCGTACCGTAGGTACCATTCCCGCACTACGTGTTGAACATTGTCAATGTTGGCAATCGAGAACATGCTCCCGATGAAAGGCAGGCCGCGGGGCCCGGGAGGTAGGTGGCGCCTCCTCGAATCCTAATGGAT